CTGTGATCAGTTTATGCATTCTTGCTAAATAAAACTATTAATTTCTTCCACAAAAAAAAAAAAAAATCTTGCTGACCCCAAACTTTTGAAAAGTAGTGTATATAATACTAATGATCTGATAAGCTAAATTAATGTAGATGTTTAAATGTTAAAACAAACATGTATTTGTTCATAGATGTGTTTTTCTAGTTAGCATGTTTTTACATAATCTCAAATGCACAGCATGTTTTCACACTAGATGGCTTGCATTACATGTATTTAATGCAGCAGTATAATTTTTTTTTCTCACCCATCAGTATGAAAAACCATGAGAAGTCTAAGAAACACAGAGAGATGGTGGCATTGCTACGGCAACAGCTGGAGGAGGAAGACAAGTCACTGAGTCACAGCTCTGCCGAGAGAGAGGAAGAGGATGATGATGAACTCGATGACACACCGAGACAAAAGTAAAACATGCCTGTCAGCACTTGCGGTGTCCTCTTTGATTGGAATTTGTTTGCTTTGCAACTTTTACAGTATTTCACAATACATCATGATGTCTAAAATGTTTATTGTGAACATTATTAAAATATTATTGTAAAATGAATAATGTAAACATAAATATAAGATGACAATGTCATTGCTTAATGATATTACAACCATTTTAATGATTTAAAATGATTAAACTTTGCAAGTTTTTCATATCGACTTTAATACATAAGGATAAGAGCATTTAGAGGGATTGTTGGCGCATTGTTGGCTAATCCTGTCCACTGATTGGTTCTTTTGATTGCAGATTATCTAAAAGGCAGAAGAAAAAGAAACGGCAGCAGAAAAACGTAAATGAAATCTAACCTCCAAACCCCTGATGTATTTTAATTTAAAGTGATCTTTTATCCAATAAAATTTTATTTTCTAATGCGGTTGTTCTTTAGAATCTTCCAGATGATCCGGAGATTGACAGCACAGTCCCACAGTCCACAGAAGAGCGTCCCGCACCTCCGCCTGACTCGGGCAACAACGAGGACGCCCCTGTCCCCTCTGAGGACCCAGATGAGAAACTAAAACCAGAGGAACGTGAACCCACAAACCAAAAAAGGTATCTCTTAAATGCCTTTTTAACAATCCACTGGTTTGAAACTCTTGTAAAGTGTTTAAACTCTTGCATCGTGGGTAAAGTCCTCTGTATATTGATATCAACTGAGATTAACTCTTAATGTCACCCTTTACAGCTCTGCCAAGACAAAAGAGAAGAAAGGTGGAAAAGACTCTAAGAAGAACAGTAAACCACACGGAGGTGTGGAAGTTTCACAAGAGGTGTGTACTGTACTTTTGTTAGCATATGTTTGTACATGTGAGCAAACAGCCACTCCTTTATGATGTTACAGCTCTTTTATAATCCTCATCTAGACATAAACAACTTCATATGACTTAATAATGTGATTTCCTATAACGGCTATAATTGAGTAATATGCGCTATACAACAGCTTTATTCATTCCGATTGGTGTAATGAAGTAGTTTACACATTATATATTGAAATAAACATGTAAACTGTAGTATAATTGAAAATCCAGACTGTTGATTTTAAAAAGGCATTGTGCATTCGTTTTTAGCAATTACATAATTTGGAGTAGGGCTGTATGATTAATCAGAATATATCTGAAATTGCAATATGGCTCAGTGTGATTATAAAAAACCGCAAAGACTGCGATTTAACTCTATCTCTGCTCTACAGTTTGGGTGGCTTTTTAACGTGCAAATGTTTGATGGTTTAATATTTGAAAATTAAGAAAGTAAGACAGCTATAAATAGTAGTATTGTTTTGTTGTAAGGCATTGTGCATTCATTTTTAGCAATTACATAATTTGGAGTAGGGCTGTATGATTAATCAGAATATATCTGAAATTGCAATATGGCTCTGTGATTATAAAAAACCGCAAAGACTGCGATTTAACTCTATCTCTGCTCTACAGTTTGGGTGGCTTTTTAACGTGCAAATGTTTGATGGTTTAATATTTGAAAATTAAGAAAGACAGCCATAAATAGTAGTATTGTTTTGTTGTTGTTGTTTTTTTACAGTTTAATGTAAAATAAATTATATTTTTCTATTATTATTTTTTATTTTACAGTGAAATATTATAATAGTAATGTTTCCTGTTGTAGTAATTTTTATATTTTATATAATTTTAATAATAAT